ATAGCCAGTTAACATCAAATGGCAGTAACCCTAAATTTAAGTTGACTAAATCCCCCAATCAAAAGATACAGCCGAAACCTAACGGTATGCTACATCCAGACCCATTTCACATCCAAAGATACACAGACTTAAAGGGATGGAGAAAGACTTACCAACCAAATGAAGAGCAAAAACAAACAAATAAATAAATAAATAAAAAGCAGGAGTTGCAATTCTCGCATCTGATAAAATAGATTTCAAAGCAACAAAGATACAGTGGTAAAAGGATCAATGCAACAACAAGAGCTAACGATCCTAACACCCAGATACATAAGACTCATAAAGAGATTTAGACTCAACAAGACAGAAAATTGATGAGGACAACTGGGACTTGAACTCAGATCCGGAACAAGTAAACTCAATAAAGATTTATAGAGCTCTCCACTTCAAATACACAAAATATACATTCTCCATCTTAAATACACAAAATATTGATCGGCCATTATTAATACCCATTTTTAGAATAAAGCTACATTCCCGTTCTGTCTCCCTCTTTTTCTTCCTCTTCCTCTCCTTCACTCCTTTTTTTTTGTTTCTTTCAAAGAAAAAAAAAAGAATTAAGTTCAAGTTCACTTACGGATAACTAAGATCACCTATGAATAACTAATAACTACGACGGTTGTGTTTCTAGCTACTTTCTTCTTCATTATTCATACGGAAATAAGCTGAGGCCTTTGGTTCCTGCCTCGGCACTTCTAGGGTCTTTTCCCTACAGGTCACTTTTTTTTTTTTGAGACAGGTTTTCCATTGCCCAGGCTGGAGCGTGGTGGCTCAAACATGACTCACTGCCTCAACCTCAGGGCTCAAGCGATCCTCCAGCATCAACCCCCAACTAGCTGGAGCTACAGGTATGCGCTACCACATCCTGTTAATTTTTGTATTTTTTGTGGAGGTGCAGTGTTACCGTGTTGCCCAGGCTGGTCTCAAATCAATGCTTTGTATTTATGTAGCTCAGGCAATCCACCCTCCTCAGCCTCCCAAATTGCTGGTGTGACATGGTAAAAGCCCCATAAAACTACCTACCTCAACTGTACCCCGGCTTTCTGTTGAAACTGCTCTCTGTAACCCACATGTGACAGGCAAGCAGTCCAAATCCATGCCATCTTGGCCCCTGCAACTTGTAATAAGTAATTAAGGACTGTAATTTCCACCCTACCCAGACAAGTGTAAACAAATGCTAATCTTGACTTTTGTGAGCCACTTAAGTAACAATCAGAATGTCAAAAGTCCCCCGGCCCTCTAAGAGTCTGGAGCCCCTCACCCTCATCTTTGCCCAGGAATCCACTGGAATGTCTGGAGCCTGTCACCCTCGTCTCCGCTCAGGAGGTGATTTACAGAATCCACTAGCCCTCAGAACATCTGAAGCCCCTCACACCCTGCCCCTCACCCTCACTCCCAAGGTGGTTTTATGGGTATAAAAGGTCTTGACGCCCTCCTTTCAGGGCCATGGGTTGGAGAGACTCGAGTCCTCCGTGGCCGCCGGCAATATAGACTCTGCAATTTGGCATACTTTTGTCTTGGTGGTGACTTTCTATGCTTGGGCCAGTACAACACTGGGAATGCAGGAGTGAGCCTGGTCACTTTTTTTTTTTTTTTCTGAGACGCAGTTTCGCTCTTGTGACCCAGGCTGGAGTGCAATGGCGTGATCTCGGCTCACCGCAACCTCCGCCTCCTGGGTTCAGGCAATTCTACTGCCTCAGCCTCCTGAGTAGCTGGGATTACAGGCACGTGCCACCATGCCCAGCTAATTTTTTGTATTTTGAGTAGAGACGGGGTTTCACCATGTTGACCAGGATGGTCTCGATCTCTTGACCTCATGATCCACCCGCCTCGGCCTCCCAAAGTGCTGGGATTACAGGCTTGAGCCACTGCGCCCGGCCACCTGGTCACTTTTTATTTTATTTTATTTGAGTCAGGGTCTCACTGTGTCATCCAGGATGGAGTGTAGTGATTCGATCATGGCTCGCTGAGGCCTCCATCTCCTGGGCTCCAGCGATCCTCCCACCTCAGCCTCCCAAGTAGCTGGGACCACAGGTGCACATCACCATATCAGCTAATTTTCATATTCTGTGTAGAGACCGGTTCTTGCCATGTTACCCAGGCTGGTCTCTAAACCTGGGGCTCAAGCGATCCTCTCACCTCAGGCTCCTGATGTGACATGGTAAAAAGCCCCATGAAACTGCATGCAATGGCCAGGCGCGGTGGCTCAAGTCTGTAATCCCAGCACTTTGGGAGGCCGAGACGGGTGGATCACGAGGTCAACAGATCGAGACCATCCTGGTCAACATGGTGAAACCCCGTCTCTACTCAAAATACAAAAAATTAGCTGGGCATGGTGGCGCGTGCCTGTAATCCCAGCTACTTGGGAGGCTGAGGCAGGAGAATTGCCTGAACCCAGGAGGTGGAGGTTGCGGTGAGCCGAGATCTCGCCATTGCACTCCAGCCTGGGTAACAAGAGCGAAACTCCGTCTCCAAAAAAAAAAAAAAGAAACTGCATACCTCAACCATACCTCAGTTTTCTGTTGAAACTGCTCTCTGTAACCCAAATGTGAATAAGTAATTAAAGACTGTGATTGCCACCCTACCCAGACAATGTGTAGACGAATGCTAATCTTAGCTGTTGTGAACCACCTAAGTAACAATCAGAATGTCAAATAGTCCCCTGGCCCTCGGAATGTCCGGAAACCTCTCACCCCCATCCCCGCCCCTCACCCTCATCTCCGCCCAGAAGGTGATTTACAGAATTCACTAAGCCCTCGAAATGTCTGAAGCCTTTCATCCCCATCCCCGCTCCTCACCCCCACTCCCAAGGTGGTTTTACGGGTATAAAAAGGTCTTGTCACCCTTCTTTCTCTGCCACGGGTTGGAGAGACGTGAGTCCTCCATGGTCGCCGGCAATAAACCCTGCAATTTGGCATACTTTTGTCTTGGTGTTGACTTTTTTTTTTTTTTTTTTGAGACGGAGTTTCGCTCTTGTTACCCAGGCTGGAGTGCAATGGCGTGATCTCGGCTCACCGCAACCTCGGCCTCCTGGGTTCAGGCAATTCTCCTGCCTCAGCCTCCTGAGTAGCTGGGATTACAGGCACGCGCCACCATGCCCAGCCAATTTTTGTATTTTTAGTAGAGACGGGGTTTCACCATGTTGACCAGGATGGTCTCGACCTCTTGACCTCGTGATCCACCCGCCTCGGCCTCCCAAAGTGCTGGGATTACAGGATTGAGCCACTGCACCCAGCCTGGTGTTGACTTTCTAAGCTCGGTCCGGTATAAAACTGAGCATGCGCTACTTTCATCTGAGTTTGGAAACAGGGTTTTGGAAGGGGCTCTGAACATCTGCCTAGGCTCTTTGTGCTCTGTCTGTGACTCTGAGCTGGTAGTTCTGGAGGGCTTTCTGGAGGAGGAGGCCTTTGGCCTGGGCTAGGCCTTCAAAGTGAGGAAACCTTTGAGGTCTGACCCTCCCAGTCTCTGGTACTACCTGACCTGGACTTTCTCACAGTTTTCCAGCCCCAGAGAGCTGTGTCTTTTCAGTGTCCCCTACCTCCTTCCCAGGCCCATCCCAAAAGCTGTAAGATGCGAGAACCCACTTTCCCTGTGTTGACTGCCATGGTTGCTGGGAGCTGATGATCCAGGTCGACCCAGCAGAGGGCTTTCCGGAGCCACAGCAAGGATTCACATCCCAGCGCCGCCACTTCCAAGCCGGGTGACCTTGGCCAGTTGCCTGACCTCGCTGATCCTCCGTGTCCTTCTCAGCACACCGTCATCATAGTACCTGCTTTGCGGGACTCGTGGGACTGAGCAGCGCGCCTGGCACACACTAGTTGCTTAATGAATGGGACAGCTATAATTACTCTTCCGGGTGAGGGCGGGGCACAGGGCCTGAAGCCAGGCCTATATTTAGCCTGGAAGCGGGTTGGAGGCGCGGGGAGACAAAGCGCAGAGGCCAGTTCCCAGGGGGCGGAGCCGGCGAAAGCCCCGCGGCCAACCCGCCCTCCCCTGCCGCAGGGTCACCTTGGCCCGGCTGGCGGCCAAGGGCTGCTTCAGACCCGACAAGCCCCAGCGGCCCAGCGGCCGCCTGGTCCCCTGAGCTGTCCTCATCCCCGCAAACTGCGGTTTGGGGAGGGGGCTGCTGGGGACTGGGAGCGGGGGTTCGGCCCCGTTGACCACTTAGGAAGCTGTCCCCTTTCCCAGCACCGGCCGAGGGAGGGCTTGCTGGGGTCAGTACGCCAAGGTGAGCCTGAACCCGGGTGGGGGCGCGGGAGGGGAAGCCAGGCCGGCTCCTCCCACAACCTCGCGCCAATGAGTGTCGGGGCTGCAAATAGCCCAGTGGAATCGGTGAGTCATAGAGGCTGGAAATACCGCGCGCCCCTGCTCGCCTCGCGTCCTCCTGGCCGCAGCCGGAGGAGCTGCACGGGGTGTGCAGGGTGGCGGACCCCTCCGGAGAGCTCCTCCTCCCCAGGCTCTCTGAATCAGACAGGACAACCCCTGCCCCCAAGTTCCAGCTGGCTTTGCCTCTGGGACTGTGTGACCCTGGGCCAGTCACTCAGCCTCTCTGGGCCGCAGAAGCCCCATTAGGTACAGGAAGGAATTCAAGAGGGCAGGCGACCTGGTGCAGCCTGCCCACCTTTGCATCCCTGCGCCTGGGACTGCGACAGTGCTTGGCACAGCGCCCGACACACAGCAGGGCAGTAAACATCTCTGGAAGGAAAGAAAGAATAAAAAGGGAAGGGCAGGCAGTTGGAAGAGAGGGTGTTGCAAGGGTGTTCCAGAAACAATCCTGGGGTTCCTGCCCAGGGGTTATGGGGAGCCCACGGAGGAGGCCAAGGAACACCCATACTTTGTAAGATCTTCAGCTCTAACTTGAGCTACAACTCTCACTCCCAAATCTCAAAGGTGTGTCTGTTTCTCCTGGGGTTTCCAGCCCTGCCCTGTTTGAGAACTCCAGGCAGGCGGCCTCCAGAAGCCTGTGAGACTGTCCTTTATTGTGCATACAGGTTCCAGCCACAGGGCTTTCCCACACCCCTCCCCAGTCCTCCCCCAAGGGGCCCAGAGTGGCAGGAGTGAGAGGCCACTCCACGGCACACTGACCTGAGGCACGGAGGGAGGAGGCCGGCCTGCCACTTGCCCTGGGGACCCACTAACTGAGGACCACCCTTTCCCTCCACCCTGCTTCTGTATGTGGGAGCCAAAGCCAAGAGTCACCGGGGGCAGCAGGCATTCCCCAGGGTTAAGGCTGATGGAAGGTCGCTATCCCAGATGGGAGACTGGGGCTTTTCCTATGACTCCCCCTGTCCCCCAGCTGGAAGATGCATAGCCTTAGAGAGGTAGAATGGGGGGAAGTACTCCTCATTGCCCAGAGATGGGGGGTTGAGAGTAGCTGTTGACACCCTGGGTATAGATCTAACCTTCGGCAGCAAAGCCGGGCGCTCAATGGCTCACAGATGGTTTCCCCATTGAAAATGGAGATTGTAAATGTGATATGAGAAAGCTCTGAATTTGGCTTCAACCAGTGGTAATGCTGAGTATTTGAAGGACAACAATAAGGGTGTGTGTGTTACACACACCAAGCCTATAAATTCATAGATTAAAGAGGGGTACGGATGAGGAGGCGACTGCCTAGAGGGGAAGGTGGCAAGAAGCTTTAGGACCCAAAGCCCCATCCATGCCCTGGCTTCCACGTCTGTTGGGTGATCCTGTCTGCATGGGAACAGCCCAGGAACATAGGCCTGTGGGTGGGAGGGAGAAGGACCAGCCCCACCCCCAACCCTACCTGGCCTTGCTGAAGGCCCCAGCAGGCATGGGACGGCAGGAGTTTCATGCAGTTTATCACGAATCAGATGTATTGGAAAAAACCCATCTATATACAGATGTGGCGTGGCTCTGCTCTGGCACAGCCAGCTGGCTGGGGGCACAGGGCGGGCAGGCAGCCTGCTCATTGGCATGAGGGTTGGAGGCTGGCAGAGGGAAGTTTACCGTCACGCTGTCTCCTTTTGGCCTTGCTGAGCCCTCGGGCAGTTAGTTCCACTTAGATAGACACCCCTGCCTATGACCTTCCCTCTGTGTCTCCTGCTCCCCTTGCCCTGCAGAGACTTAATAGATCAGAGTGTTTGTCTGTCTGTCTGTCTGTCTGTCCCGCAGAGCTTGCCCAGATGTCCTGCTGGTCCCATTCCCCTGACCCACAGCAGGTTCTTTAGATATTCCTTCCCCTACCCCAGCCCCTCTACTCTGGATTAAGTGAGGGAAGCCATATCTGATATCTGGGCACCATGCATCAGGCCGGGGACCCCCCTGGCCTGCTCTGGATAGAGTGGAGGGCCCTAGCATGGGAGGATGGTCCACCTGGGGCCTGGGGAGCACAGGGGCTGGAACCTGGGCTGAGATGGTCTAGAGCTGTTGAAATGGGGTTAGGAAGGCTTTGCTGGCAGACGTGGGGGTGGGGGCAGGGGCAGGGCAAGGGAAAGGAGAGGCCCTCAGATTTTGATCTCCGTCCGGAAGGTCTGCTGGACATGCTCTGTATGTGGGTGGCGCCGTGCCCGGATGGTGAGGCTTCCGTCCTCCCGGAGAGCCGAGGTCACCGACGTGGGGTCCACATCCTCAGGCAGCTGGCACTTGTGAGCGAAGGTGTTCATGACCGTGCCGTCAGCTGCCAGCTGGGAAAGGGGTGACTGTCAGGCAGGCTGTCCCTGCCCCTGTCCTGCTTGTGACAAGCCATAGTCCTCTTCTTCCCATTCTAACCCTGGCCGGGCCCCATATGCTGAGGGGCTCTGCCCTCAGGTGTGGAGGGTCTGCCCAGGGTGGTGATGGCCACAGGCCCAGGGCTATTCAGGGACAGCCCAGGGGTGTGTCGCAGAGCTCCAGTAGCTCCAAGAGACAGGCAAGGGACATAGCGAGGGGTGGGGCTTGGAAAGAGAGGCGGCTCTGTGGCAGTAGCTCTGAATCTGGGGCTTCTGGGGAATGCAGAGAAGACAGAGGAGAGCCGTGCCTTCCTGGATCCCCAGACTCATTGGGCGTCTGCCCACCAGGGCTGAGCACCTGCCCCTCCCCCACAACTCAGCCAGCACATAGTGTCCAGGGGAGTTTGGGGCGGCTGAGTCATTGTTGTGGGTGGCAGGCTGGCACGTGCTGCCCTCAGGTCCTGGTGTCCCCAGTCTTTGGCATCCCTGGCAGGGATGCTCAGGAGTCCATCCCTGAATACTGAGGGGAGGAAGCCAGCCCATGGGAGCTTAGGAGGAGGCCTTGGGCAGGTCCTCTCTTCTCTCCTGGCAGCCCTGGCTGTCCCAGGTGGGGCCCCTGTTCAGGCCTGGCCACACCCTCTCCAGGGCAGAGCCCCAGTGCCTCCTGGAAGTTCAGACTCAGACAGTCTAGAGACCCATGACCCTGAGACCTGTGGGCAGAAGGTGTGTGTGGTTAAGAGTGTTTGTGACCCTAAACTGCAGAGTGGTGATGGCCACAGCCCGAAGACTTTGCAGGGACAGGGCAGGGTGCTTCGCAGAGCTCCAGTAGCTCCAAAGGACAGCATGGGGCATGGGGAGGGGGTGGGGCTTCGAAGGAGAAGTGGCTCCATGGCAGTAGCTCAGAATCTGGGGTGCCTGGGGAATGCAGGCATCTCAGCCCAGGTTGCAGCCCCTACACTCCCAGACCCTAGGTGGACTGGACACCCTAAACTGTCCAACCTCGGGCCTAATTTGGGGGTTCCAAGATGGAGGATGGGTCTCTGGCTGTGGAATGGAAGAGTGCTTGAGGTGTGTCACATGGAGAAACTCCTCCCTCAGCTGCCCAGGTGAGTTCCTCACCTACCCGAATCCACCCTCTATGGCTGCCAGAGGAGCTGTTTTCACTCTGCCATCACCATCTCTCGCCCCTCATCTCCCGCCCTTAAGCCCCCACCCCCTCAGGCTCCCTCTGCCCACATCCCTCCATCCCTCTCCCATTTCCCATAGGCTCCCTCAGCTGCCCAGGGCCCTGGAAGAAAGGATCTGGGAACCTCAATGCAAAGAGAGGCAGTGAGGGTCCCCATAGCCATGGGCTGCAGGGGCAAGGCCTTCAGTTAGCCCTGGGGGGGCATGCGGAAGGGACACTGGCCAGGGTCTGGGGTCCCAGGATGGGAAGGGGGAATAGGGGACATTGGAGGCAGGAGCAGAATTTGGGGTGCAGTGGGTGGGGTTGGGGGGCTTACCTTCTCAGCCCGCACCTCGATGTGGTTGTTGGAGGTGGTGACGATGATGTCTTCAGGTGAGAAGTCCCTCACGTCAACTGCAAACTCATAGGCGTCTCCGAGGGTCTTGATGTTGCCTGGTCCCCCAGGGCAGGCTGTGGGATGGGCTACTGTGAGCCAGGCATGGAGCAGGCCTGGCATGCTGATCCCAGGGTTCTGGCTCCTTCTCTTAGGGCAGTGGGTGGCTCCCCAGGCCCTACCCACCCCCCAGGTGTTTCTCTTTAAGCTCCTCCTCCTTCTTGCAGCGCACCTTTTCTGGGGTGGGGGGTGGGGCCTCACCCACAGGTGTGGTATGTGTATAGTGATGCTAAGTCTGTAACACCCCACCCCGGGCCTGGAGGCTGGGGGCTGCCTCCTACCCCTCACCCCATCCAGCCCTCTAGGGTTCCAGCTGGGATTGGCTGCATTTACAGACCATTACAAACCATGTCTGATCCCTACGGCCACCATTGTTCCTTAGAGGCCCACCTGTTTTCATGGCCACATCTGTCCCTGTGGACACCTCTGTCTTGGCAGCCACACATGGCTGTGGGCTGTGTGGCACCTGTTCTAGGCAGCCCGGCAGCCACAGTGCATTCAGTGGCGCCCTGGAGTGGACGTCACCTCTCTCTGCACCTCCCCTCCCCTCAGAGCCATGAGCACTTGCCTGGAAAGGCCAGGGGCTCCGAGTGGGGACGCATGAAGCTGCCAAAGTCATCGGAAAACATGCTCAGGGCCTTCTCCATGGGTGGGTCCTGGGCCGGGAGGGCACGGGAGGCCGAGGAGGAGGTGGAAGAGGAGGAGGAATGAAAACTTCTCTCCGCTCGGAAGGTGGAAGAAGTCCTGTGGCTCATCCACGGGCGGCGCCGGGCCCTGTCCAGGCGGGCAGGGACTGGACAGGAGAGGGTGTGGGCACAGGCCTCCGGGGGAGCATGCTGGGCCCCGATGGTGGCCGCTTTATAAGGCCGACTGTCCCTGGGCTCGGGGCCAGCCCCTTGTCTACTAGCTAAATTTAGGCCTCTCCATGGCCCAGAGGGGGCTGGAAACCTTCTCCCGTGCGCCGGCCTGCTGACAGCCCGACGCAGGCAGGCCAAGAGGCTGAGCTCACAGCCTGGCATTCCAGGCCGATCACAGCAGCCCCAGGGGCCTCCGCACCACTTTTCCCAAACACAGGCCTGGGTTCTGCCCCCTTGACACTCAGACCTCGGTGCCTGCCCCAGAACCTTGCAGGTTTGGGGTTTCTTGTGTGTTTCGCTTCCCCGCATCAGACTGGGAGCTCTGTAAGGACTGTGCCTCCCCCCTCAGACTCTGGTTCTCCGCCACGGCTGTGCCTCTCCCATCAGACTGTAGGCTCCTTGGGGACAGGGTAGGTGGAAGCACCACGGCTGTGTGATGTCAGGAGCTCCTTCCCTCAAGGCAGACAACCTTCCCAGCCTATGTCTAAGGAAGGCTGAACCCTGGCAGGGGGAGTAGAATGTGCAGCTGTCCCCTGCCAACCCCCACCGGGACCTGGATCCCCTGCCTGCACTCCCCCTGACTCTCAGAGCATGTAGGGGCCCCAAGAGGAGAAAGCTGGTCTAGAGGGTTATGTTCCTGGCAACTGTCTGCTCCACCTCTGTGTCAGAGGGGACCCCTGGGGCTGCTCTAGGGATTTCAGTCAGAGATAAAAGAATTCCGGACGACTCTCATTCTAGTCCTGATTTCTGGAGTGACTTCTGGGCACAGGCTCCTGGCCGCAAGCTGTCTAGTGTGGCCCCGTTTGATCCCCACACAGCTGGGAGGGTGGAAGTGAGGCGTTCTTCCCATTTTATGGACGGAGAAATGAAGCCTCTTGGAAAGGGAGGGGCTTGCACTTGCGTAAGGAGCAGAGCTGGGATTCGAATCCAGATGTGGACCCAAAGCCCTTCGGAGGCCGAGGTGGTTTTGAACATATGCCTGTGGAGACAGGCTGGCCCAGAAGAGCCGGAGAAGCCCCTCCCTACCCACCTGCTTGTTCAGCAGAGCTGGAACTGACCATGCCAGGGTGGAGGCCATTGTAAGAGGCAGCCAGGCCCTCTGCTCTGCCCAGGTTGCAGTTCGGGGCCTCTGCTGTCCTCTCCAAATCCTGCCCTTCCATCCCAGATCAGCTCCAATCCCTCCTCCCCCAGAGAGGCCTCTCTGATTGCTCCTGCTCATACAGCCCCACACTTGGTCCAGATGCCCCCAACACTGACTGTCTTTGTCCACCCACAGCACCTGGCAGTGTGACATGGTCTTTCTGTGTGCTGTGACTCTGCTGTGTCCCTTCTTCCCTATCCAACTGGCAGTTCCCAAGGGGGCAAGGATTCACCTGTCTCCCCATTAGATGGAAGGTTCCCGAAGACGGACCGTTTCTCTTTTATCTGAGCCCCCTACAACCCAGTCTGGCACTTCATCTCAGAGGGCTCGGTCTACAGGGGTGTTGGTGGTGCTGGAGGTACGTGGAGTGGAAGCAGAGCAGGGCACAGGGCACAGTGGGGGCCAGGCTGGTGCCTGTTGCCCTGGCAGTTTCCTGCCCATGTGGTAGCCTGTGACACCCAGCCTGGCTAAGGGGTTTCTAGGGCCACTGGGAAGCCACCAGCACTGAGGTGAGATGGAGAGAGGGTGGGGCGGGATGGGGGGCCCAGAGCCTGCCGGACGCCAGGGAAACAGGAGCCAGTGGCTAAATGCAGACACACTGTCATGGTGCTGAGGGCCTGAGTCACTGCCCCTGGATGTCAGATCCCATTACCCACCCCCGCCCACCATTCCGCTTCCCAAGGCATTGCCCACACAAATACTGGATCCTCTGGCTTCACTGGCCCGGAGGGACCTCAAAAGGTCATCAAGGCCATTCCCCTGCCTCTATCTTCAGATCACAGGGACAGAAGGAGCTACAAAGATGATACAGTCCTTTGAATCCCAGTTACCCAGGGAAGCGTTACCCAAACACAGACCCTTTCCTCCGACCCCAGGATTTTGATTTGGGATCTGGAGAAGGCACCTCCCATGTCTTCCCATCAGCTCCCCACACAGCCGGCTCATGGGCTGGTGATGAAGCCCTCATCACTCAGCAGGTATTTATTGAAACACTGCTATAAATAGGGGCTGGGCACTGTTCTAGGCTCTGAAGGACTCAGATGAATAAGGCAGAGACAGGCCCCTGCCTCCCGGCTTACCTCATTGGACAGAAGAGGAAACTGAGGTTCGAGTTAATGAAGGAGTTAGGCATAGCAGAGCTGTGCTGGCTTCAAACCTAATTTCATCCTGCTGAGCCCCTGGCTGCCCTCTTCTCAGCCTCCTGGGGCTCACAGGGCTGGAGGGTGAGGGTGGATGTGGACTTGCAGTGCCAGCTGTGGGACAGTAGCCAGCAGTTGCCCCAGACCAGACCCTGGGCATCAGGATGTCAACAGGGCGGCCCGTTCTGGTGCTGTGCAGAGTCAACAGGTGGGGGTGGCCAAGGTGAAGGTGGGCTCAGGACCACACAGAGCAGCAAGCCCCTTCCCACCTCCCACAACACACACCTTGTATTTTGATCTGACTTGCCTGGCATCTAGGGACAGAGGGTAGCTCAGCGTCCCAGATTTTAACAATCATTACAGGACCAACCTCTTGCCCAAAGTGACATCAGACTCAACCCTTCTGCTGTGTACCCAAACCATTCCCCTGGTTGAGCCTCAGGAGCTGGAGGAGATTTGGGCAGAGGAAGAGCTGCACGGTGGAGGGCTGGGTTCAGCCTCTGCTGTGTGACCCTGGATGAGTGACTCACCTTTCTGAACATCTACAAAATGGCAATGCTCCCCTCATTCACAGGGTGTGTGGAGGGGGACTTGAGCTGCGGATGTGAAGCTCCTGCACGTAGCAGGCCCACAACACCTGCTTGTTCCTCGCCATGTTCCCTCACTCCTGCGCTCCTGTCCTCTGTTGGAGAAGGACAGATTCTGTGGAATTACCCAGAAGTCCCCAGCCAGAGCTGCTACCCCTTGGACCTGTGCTTTGACAGGCATTTCCTGAGCCTGGAGGGTCTGGACACGAGGATCAAGTTCAAGTTCCTCACCCCAATTCGCCACCTCGCCCCAGGTGTTGGCCTCCTCGCCAGCCCTGGACAAGATGGGTTATCAGGACCGTACCGTGCGGCACAGCCTGTAGGCTTTGGAGCCAGGCAAACCCTGGCTGGGAGTCCTGACTCTGCCTCGGCCTCTGACCTCTGATCTTGGACAGGCAGCCTTGCCTCCCTGAGATGCCATTTCTTTACAACGGGATCACCCTGCCTGCCTCATGGGGTTTCCATGGGCACTTACAGTGATTAATCTGGGGAAGGCTGACTGTGTACCTGGCACACAGGGAGGGTGCGGGCGTGCCGCCCCACTCACCTTTGCTGGCCTGTCCTCACCTTCCCTGCCTAGCCTCCTCCATCTCCCTCTGTGCTTTTCCAAACCTTCCATGTCCAGCTCTGAGCCCACTGGGACTTGAGCCTCAGCTTGGGTAGATGATCCCTCGCTGCCCTGTGTGCGTGAGCTCCCCTTCCCTGGCACCTGCCCAGCAGCACCCCGGGAGCCTGAGTGCAGCCGGGCACCACCCTGTGTGGCTCCGGTGGGTGGGGAAGCTCCTGCCCCCGTCTCTCTTGGCAGCTCTGCCCTGCACGGCTCTGGGCTGCACAGTTCAGGTTGGTTTGTCAAGGACATTTGAAATCTCCACAGTAAACCCCAGGTGGGGGGGTGAGGAGAGGATGATGATTGGTGGAGCACAGAGCATACACCTGTGTAGGTGCACTGCAGCTGGGAGCACAGGAGGCTCTGTGACGGGAGGGCCAGTTTGGCCACAGCAGGAGGACTGAGAGGTAAGGGGACTCTGGGCATGAACTGGGGTATGGACCTGGCAGCACCAGGCAGGCAGGGCAGAGGGGATGGTAGGGGCAGGAGCCAGTGCCTCACTTTGGCTTTACAAGGGTCTCCTTCTGGACCTGGGGCTTTCCTGCCTCTGTGGCCTGAGCTATTGGGGAGAGACAAGGGTGCTCTGAGATGGACAGGGAGAGTCAGAGCCATCCCTGGGACTGCAGTGAGAGAGCCACGGCCCTGGCCAGAGACTGCTCCCAGCAGTGGAAGCACCAAGTGATCCAGAAGGGTGTGCGCGGTGACCACAGAAGGGGAAGGCTCTGAGCAGGGCTTGGGCTCCAGCCTGTGCCCAGTCAGGTGCTGGACATGGGGGGACACCTAGGAATCCCACCCCCATCCCACACAATGACACACACAGGGGCATACCCTCAGTGACAGACCTCAGGGATGAGGGCACACAGAGACCTAGTGTGATAACTTCACACACGCACGCACAGAGAGAAGCCCAATCCTTCCTCTTCGTTTGGTAGGGAGAGCCCCGGAAGAGCTGAGAGGCCTCGAGAAGATGTAGGGCAGCTTACCTGGGTCCTTCCTTCTATCCAGAGCAGCTCACCTGGGTCCCTGCCTCTATCTGCTTCCCCAGGGACCTGATGGAGGAACTGGTGGGGCTGCATGAGGGCTCTTCAGGGGACCCTGTGACTCTGCAGGAGCTGTGGGGCCCATGTCCCCGCATCAGCCGAGGCATCCGAGGTGAGAGCCAGGTCCCCTTCCCCTCCCTGTGGCGGGCCCCTCAGGACATCCCTCTGCCCAGCTCCCTGCCCAGGAGCCACCCTCCTCCTGCATTTGTCCAGGACGTCACGGGTCAGAGTCTCCTGGGTGTAGGGAGGGAAGGGGTCTGTCTATCGAGCTGTTTGTGGGTCAGATGGGCTGGGCATCTGTCCTCTGCCTTTTGAGAGATACAGCTTGAGGCCTGGTCACTGTGCCCACCCTCCTCCCAGGCCTCTCCTTCACCTACCTGTGCCAGTGAGGGACCCCGAGGGTGAGCTGCTGGCACACCACTACTGTGGTGTTCGGAGCTGGGACAGCTGGGGTACAGCAAGGGGCTGGGGCAGCCTGCACTGGGCACCTTTTTTTTTTGAGACGGAGTTTCGTTCTTGTTACCCAGGCCGGAGTGCAATGGCTAGATCTCGGCTCACCACAACCTCTGTCGCCTGGGTTCAGGCAATTCTCCTGCCTCAGCCTCCTGAGTAGCTGGGATTACAGGCACGCGCCACCATGCCCAGCTAATTTTTTGTATCTTTAGTAGAGATGGGGTTTCACCACGTTGACCAGGATGGTCTCGATATCTTGACCTTGTGATTCACCCGCCTCGGCCTCCCAAAGTGCTGGGATTACAGGCTTGAGCCACCGCGCCCGGCCTGGGCACCTTTTCTTAAAGGCCCTCAGCTATGGGGCAGAGCAGGCAGGGACCCCGGAAGGAAGCTAAGTGCAGCCCCAGGAGCTGGTGCCCACAGTCAGTGATGGCCAGCTCCCAGGCTGGGCTGGCAGCCAGCAGGCCAGGGGCATTGCTGGGGACCCAGAGGATACCTGGTGCCACAGGTCCTGGGACACGCAGGAGTCTGCTAGACTCTGGAGCTCTCTAAGCTACAGACCCTGCAGGGATTCCGGTGAAAGCATAGCTGCCAGCCCCCTCCACACTCCCTGTCCCGCGGGGGCCCCCCAGTACAGAGGGTGGACAGGTCAAAAGCCTCTGGCAGGGGCAGCAGTCCTGGTACCCACTGTGCTGCCACTGTCACCCATCGCAAATCCTGCCCAGCCCCCAGTGTGAGGCAGGGCCCCCTCAGGACTACCCCCAACTCCACTACCAGGGTCCTCCCTACCTGGAACCAAGCAGGCCTCCAGGGAGGGGGCTGTCTGTGCCCCCTTTCCCAACATAAGCGAAGACCCCTATGCCCTGCCCCAGGAGGCCTGGAGTGGCTGAAGCAGAAACTGTTTCGCCTGGGCGAGGACTGGTACTTCCTGATGGCCCTCGGGGTGCTCATGGCCCTGGTCAGCTACGCCATGAACTTTGCCATCGGGCGTGTGGTCAGAGGTAAGTCCTCCCTGGCTGGTGCTGCTCTGGGCCAAGGGATTCTGAGCTCGCTCTGGGCATGCCAGATGGATGTCACCAGGTGCAGCGGAGGTGGGGAGAGGGCTCTGGGTGGGGATCTGGTCCTGGCTTTACTCCTGACTTGCTGTGTGATCCTGGGCAGGCTCCTGCCCCTCTCTGGACCTCAACCATCTCATTTCCACAAGGGAGAGAGGCCTGAATGTTCCCCACAGCC